GGAAAACCAGGAGACCAAGCGCATACCCTTGCATAGAAAAAGGAGGTTCTACTGAGTAGACCCTTGCTCCCACACCACGAACGACCGGTCGAACAACGTCTCGTCTCGTCTCTCCCCCCGCCACGAGGGCATGGACGGCCAACCATCGGAAGGTGAAGATGGGGTAGGCAACAGGGGTCCTGCCCAGGTAGGCGAGGCCTCTCCTCAAGCCATGTCTTGCCCTCTTCCTTCCTTCTTTGAGCACACCTGTGGAATCAAAAGTGGAGTACAAAGCCGGAATGAGCCATCAAAAACTTATCCTCCTCTTCCCTGACTCTGCCAACACATCTCATTTGGGCACATCGCAAGACACTTCCCAAGCATCACTTGCTCCTGGCCACCGCTGCCTTCCTCAGTGATGCCAGTCTTGAACGGCAGCGAACGTGCGATCCCAATCATCGCAACGGAAACACAGCACGTATGATGATGTGCGATAAGCCACGGATCCCCACCGGAACCTTTGAGGGGACACTCAGGTGAACAGCCGAAACCGAGTGATTCACCTGAAATCCAACACGTTTCGTTGAGAGTAGCTCAGACTTGGATGGGGTGCACCCTGGTGCACCCCGTTGAAGCTCAGCGCCCTGGCTCTGCGGCGCAGGCGGTGCGCGCGTTTCGCTTGAAGGCCTGAGCACGGTTCGCCGGCCAAGGAACACGAAATTGACCTCCAAAAGTGAATGCTGGGGAAGGAATCCACCTGGATCACCGTGACGTGTCCTGCTGGGTGCCCTGCCAAGGTGGCGGCTGTGGCGTAGCCCAGGCTGAGGCCGGCCAAGAGGCACGACTGGCACGGTGCAGTTCAGCGTTCGGACATGCACAGCGCGACGCGCAGCTGATGCGTCGGCGGTTGGGTTTTCAGGTGGTTCAGGTGTTAGGTCGGCAAGGCTCTCATTCCGCCGTCTCGGTGTGAGTCTTAGTGGGATTGGGTTCACCCAAACCCTCGGCCAAACACACCGTAGTCGTGGACCGGCCCGTCGGCACGGCGCCCGACGGTCGACCCGCTCGTGGACCCGGTCCGGGAAGGCACAGCACAGGGTGAGCAGCTTCACTTAAGGGTTCAATCCACAGAGCAGCTACAGACCAGAGAATGGTTGTTGTAGCAAGTATGCATCATGACAGAAGGTGTATAACTCATGGATGTGTATATTCAGTGATTATTCAGTATCTTCCTTCAACCATGTTGCTGTTCTTCTTTGAATGTGCCACCAGGTTACCACGCAAAGACTCAGGCCCTGGAAACCAGGACTTTCACCAGGCACTACTTTCTGAGCCCCGCCACCAAACCCACCACTTCATTTTTGCCACTTCTTGCCATACCGTGCCCACCAACCAAACCGGCAGGCGAAGCACCGGCACTTCCAGCGCAAGCCGACGCGCGAGAGACCTGGAGTCCTGTCTGACCCGGTCCATCCAATTCTGCCGAGAAGACCGAGGTGCTCATCTCCACCTGCGTGGTGTTCGAGACGGTGAGGTGTCGGGGTGGAACAAGGTGCTAAGAGAAGAACCCGGAGAGAAGGAAACACGCAGAAACTGGAGAAAAATCTGACTGGTTTCATTCGGAGAGCTGGTCTGCCAGGTTGCAGATTGACAGGATTTCAGCGACCTTTGATGGACCAGTTCTGCGTAGTGACGCTCTCCCTGCATAGCCCAGTTCGCACATGGCACACTCTCTCTCTCTCTCTGTACCCGGTCCCGCCGATGAATTCGCCTCTGCCTCGATGCTCCTCATCTGTGGGGTCTGGAGTTCCACCGAGGGCAAGGCATTGGAGCCTCGGGACAGGCGCCAGGCGAAGATCTGACCCGTTACTGAGTTTGGGTTCTTGAGATCGCAGATCTGGGGAACTGCCCAGGCAACCCCAGGCACTGCGCCCACGCGTGCTCGCCGTGCGCTCGCGTGGGCAGTAGAACGGAAGGATCGCGGAAGATGTGGCCCAAACATCAGAAATATCTCCCCCCATTACCAGCGACGTCAAGTGCTCCTCAGCTGCGATCCGCTCAATGCGAAGCTAGGCCCAGTTGGAGGTTGAAATAGCTGCAGCTTCTTTGTATAATTATAATTTAGGATAATTTGGGGCCGGCTTCCACCATCAAAACCTCAACTGCTACACAATGAAAACAATTTTCAACCTCTGCCCATCCAAATGTGCTCTTTAAGTAAAACTCAAGAACAAACCTTCTACCTCCTGACCTTCATGCTCACCATAAATCATCGTTCGATCCCTTTTGGCCGAAATGCGGGCAAGTGTCCTGTTTTTTTTACTTCAGTGTGGCCTATTGGACATCGGATAATGATTCTATGGAACAACCAAACCATCATCCCTGCAAATCAGCTTCATTGGAGTTCGAGCTCCACCATTCTATATATAGTTATTTCCCGGTCACTGTGGCTGAGGCCGGGACGGCTTGGCGCCACAAAAGCTGCAGAGAAAGTGCAGCAGGCAGCCAAAAGAAGGGAGAACAGGGCACCTGCAGCAAACTTTGGCAAATCCACGACCAACTCACAGATCTTCAAAAAAGGACATGAAACACTGCAACTCTATTATTGGCACTAGAAACCGTGTAAAAAAGAACTCTGTGGCAATGCTCTGAGGGTCTGCGGTGGAACTGAACAGGACCCCCGAAAAAGAAGGATCTAATCAGCCCAACCAATGATCTTGTAGACACAATCCTTCCACATCCGAAGACCATGCTCCGATTCCTTCTTCCGAAGACCAAAGCTTTGACAAAAAACGGATCTCCAAGCAAACCTAGATCTTCCAACTATACACAAAATGTCTGCCAAACTTGGCTGCTGAAAAAGGCAGAAATGTTTGCAGCATTTATGATGGTGCATAGTAATGCCCTTAGCTACCAGTAGCTTCTTGTACTAGTAGTAATGCCCTTGTTACTAGTAGTAGCATGGTATATGATTCATTGTATGATGGTATATGGACCAAGTTCTTAGTCTCCAAGTTCTCTGCGCGAAGCAAGTTCCTCGTCCACCCTCAGAGACCCTGGCGCGACGCCATGTCTTCGGCAATGACCTAGACGATGTCTGCGGCACGGAACGCACAGAACGCACGAAGATCTATCGAAACTGGCGCGGAAACGTGTGAAAAACATGTGGAAAAGACCTGTAAGCTCTTCGTTACTTTTTCTCAAAAAGTTTCTGGAATCTCCCATCAGAGAAGCTCTCTTTCTTTCCAACACCTGCATCGTCCCCAATGTGCATTGCACACTGCTGGATCACGCAACGCAAAAGAAGACGTCGCAGGCGGCGTCCGCATTCGCAGTAACGCATTTGTGTCTGAGCCGCTACACGCAGGCCAAGGATGATTCCGACTCCGATGGTTGGAAAGGATTGTGAAGCAATTCTTCAGTCGACCCAGGGTCAGCCAAAAAGAGCACATGTGGCGTCCGCCTGAAATCAAAGACCAAACCATGTTTCCATTGCTTGGTAGTCAGAGCTGTGTCCAGCACCTACCGTTTAGAAGACCAAACACAGGACTTCAAAAGCCTTTTTGCTCCAAAAGCCAACCTTCCCCTACCTGCCACTGCTCATGGCCCAGTCGGATCGATATTCCACCCTGTTTGAATCAGATTCCACGGGTGGCGGCCAGAAAACCGTTCTACAAGGCAGCCAGCTAGTCCTGGCTACCGGTAGACCCTCCGTTCCTTCGTTTTCCGGTCTCCCGACTCCACCGATGGGGGAGAGGTCATCCTCGGCCCGCATCGGCTTTGCCGAGTGAAACAGCGGCTTTGCCGGGCACCCTGCACCGGGACAGTGGTCGCATGAGCTCCGTCGCACGGGGCGATGTGATCACATTCGGTTCGTTTCGCTTCGCAGCGAGGTTGAGACGACCCGACATTGCAGAAATCGATGTCCCAAGCATTCAAAGTCATTTGGCCCCTTCGCCAGCACTCATTGAAACAAATCTGCAACACACGTCCGGCCCCTTCATTAGCTCGTCTCGGCCATCGAGATGAGCACTCCCATCCTCGTATCAAGCTTTCAGGGATGCAAAGTGCCCTGCTCCATGGAATGCAAAGTCAGTTCCCATCGCATCCTACCAAATACATGGAAATGTAAAAAGAATTTCCAAGAACGCATCTCCTCTTGCCCCCAACCCAGAAAAATCCAGCGACGTCGCACGACTTGGTGAACCGAACCGAACATCCGAGGTCCGAACATCCGATGTCCGGCCGCGAGGACCACGAGTCCGGAGAACAAAGGGGACCTGACCTGATGGATCTGATTTCAGTCTCCATGAATTCATGGAAGTGAATAATATAGCCAAAATAGGCCCAACATGCACAGCACACCAACAGCTGTGTACCTTACCCCCCCCTTTTGTTTCCTACATAAAATAGTAGGACGTGGGAACACCACCCCTCGAGTTTTACCATGTCTTCATGGAAGACATCATCCCTCATCCGTCCCAAGAAATCGTTCATCCGCCACCAAACTTCCAGTTTGCACTTGAAGCGACCATCCTTTTTGCACCGCACCCCGCAGCGGACGTCAAATAAGGACGGAGCTGCCCCGCAGCGGTCGAGCGGTCCGATCGAGGGAGTCGCACGGATCCACACGCCAAGTGGAGCATACACCAGATTTCCCTAAGAATCCGAGTCCGGGCTGTCCATGGCAGGGGTCGGACCCGACCTCTTCGGGGTCCGGGGCCGAACCAAACCCTATCTGTTTGAGGGCCCGGATTCTTAAGGCTTGTCATCTAGCCCAATTCATACCGTGAGATACTGTGAGGATCGGGCCTAGAAGCACCACGTGGAGCAGCTCGGGGGTAGCGGATGACAGAAAAGAAGCATCCGTCCCCGTCGGTTCCGCGGCCCCGGAGAAGACCCCCGAAGAACAAGGCAGGCAGGTCTTTTCTTCGCCAACTCCAAGTGCAAGAACATGCTGAATTGTGAAGTGTTGGAGGTCTTCAAACCGAAATCTGAAAAAAAAAGTATACCAAATACATCGATCAATTGGATGTCTTAAACCTCTGACCTCTGAGAACTCGACATGCTTTCGCTGCAGCTTCGGCCTTCGGCATGGCTGGATCGCCGAGAACGGGCGGAGCCACAGGTGTTTGTCCCTCTCTCCTTTAACCAGCAGAATCCGGGCCCGGTTCGGCCATGGGCTATCGGGTTTGGGTTCCGGACCCCGAAGATGTCGGGTCCGACGCCCAGGGATTTCCTAGGCTGATTTGATGCTCCATTTGACTATAAATCTATACCCACGGGCCCCCGTTTCGGGGTGTCTCATTATAGCTCCTTAGAGGTGATTCGGGGTATCCACTAACCACCCACCCCTTAGGAGGCCAGCCCATGGTCAACGATCGATATCAACGGGCTAGAGGCTTTTGGTCTGGGTGCGCGAACAGTTGGTCGAACCCCCCCGGAAACCAGAACACCATGCCCCCATGTGAGTCTCCCCATGTCAAAAAAGAAACAAGATGATTGGCCCTTGGCCCCCTGTCGCCCCTCCCGTCGGCCCCGAAGCCGCCCGCGCCAGCAGCCGCCGGAGCTCGGCGCCCGTGGCGTCCGCCCGCGCGGCCGCGAGGGTCCGCGCGTCGGCACCTGGTCCGGGCGGTTGGCGCAGGTCGGACGGGGCTCGGTCGGACGTTGCATTCTTTTCTCGACCATTCAACGGTCCACCGGACCTAACATGCAAGAGCAAAGTTTGTACCTTTGATGAACTTCATGTTGGAAAACAGACCACCAGATCTTGGGGGTGCCTGGTCAAATCCTTTGGATCTTCGATCGATGTTCGTGCGCCAACTGCTTCTCGCCATCTGGCTCGCATTCGTTCGCGCGCACCGCACCCAGCTTTCGCCTGTGTCGTCCTTCGCTTGAACGTCAGCTTTCGCCTTCAGCAGCTGCTGGACCATGTTGGAATGTCCAAACTGCACCGCCAGATGCAAAGGCCTTCGGCCTGCGGAGCGTTGCGCGGAGAGCGTTCGGCGCGTGCCCCTGCGCGGTCGGTCTGCGCCGTCTGCGCCGGCGAAGAACCCGGTAGACTTGCGCCCTGTGTGTGGGACATAACCTTGGTTTTGGTTGGAGAACCTGGAAAAAAGAAGCAGGTCAGAGGTCAGAATAGTTTCCAAGAGTAAGGTGTACACAGCAACGGTTGTGTTGGAGTCAAAGGAGTAAACCATGCAAGTCGAACCATCCAACCATCACTCCGAAGTCCACCCGCACCGAAGCGTCCAACGTCGACCGGCTGACGCCTCGGTCATCCTGGACCTCCAAAGGGGCTTTCGCATCCAACAGCAGCTGAGCCATGTCACCCTGCCCGAACTGCGCGGCCAAATGCAGCGCCGTTCGACCTGCCGAGCCGCCAAGCGGTTCAGCCCAGCTGGGGTTCCACAGCGGTCTCGGGTCGATAGACACCCCGGTCGAGCCAAACACCTGACCTCATGAGCCTCATGCGCCTTGGCGCGCTTGGCGTCCTCGCTTCGTCCCGAAACTGCACTCACTCCGCAACTCACTGGGTCCTCCTCCACGCCCCGAGGAGCATCCCGTCCTCGGGCCCCCCGGCGAAAGTTGTTCACGGCATCCATCCGAATCTGGGCGGCGGACAACACGTGGAAGATCGAAGCGCTGCGGCCGAGGCCACTCACAAAGTGTCGCGCCAACAGGTGCAAGCTGGTCTCGCCTCGGGGTTTGCACCGAAAAATGCGCGGACGCCACCCTGGATGCCACCCCCTGCCGCCAGCAACCAAGACAAATCACGTGTCTGACTCAAACACCAGCAAAATAAGCCCAAGAAAAAGTCCCGACAGCTGTGCATGCATCCGCCCATCAGACTTATAGACCATGGCAACATCGCCAGCTCCGGAGTCTTTGGCTTTCAGACCCCCAAGCTTCGGTGCAAAAAGACAACACCAAAAGACGCTGTCTGAGAGTCCATCAATGAGACAACAAGACGTTCCCCTCTTCTCAAAACCCCGCTCCGATCAGCGTGCTCACCCCTCGCCAGTGGGATAGACCCACACTGTGCACGGTCAAAACCGGTGCCTCCCCACCGAGGGGAGGCACCGAGTTCGAACCGACATAGACCCAAAACACCACTCTCTGAGTCTCCAGGTTGACTCACATCCACCCCGTCTCACCCGTGGTGAAGTGTTCACTCGTTCACACCAGTCTCACGGGTCCGTCTCACCCGCCGGAACCCGCCGGAACCTGAACCCGAGGTGCCAAAAGAATCCTTGGAGTTCACCTCGGCCCCGAAGATCAACACCAAATCTTTGGCGGCCGAAAGCTGGCCCTTCTCCACGGCCCGCATTAGCGGCGTTTGGCCTCTCACGGTGTGGAGGTCGTCCCGGCGGGATCGGATCGGAGCGCGGCAGTGGTAGGTGGTGGTGTGGGAAGTGGTAGGTGGTGGGCCTCCAGAATCTCTAGAAATCCCAAGGGGGCGCCCCTTGGTCCGAATGCTTGGGCCCTCCAAAACCCCAAATCCCTTGGTTTGGGCCCGGATTCTTAGGGTGCTTTGAATCCTTGGAGCTTCAACCCGACGATTCTCCAGGAGAAGGCCCATCTACCGACTAAGCGCCCCAAAATACCGCCACAGGTCCGCCATGATGCAGGTGACATGTTGCACTCCTCAGCGAACTGCCGTGCCTTGGCCATTTGTCTGGGCCACGCGCTGCGGCGCCGCCCGTAGGAAGTAGCGTAGCGCATCCAGGGCACCCTTCTCTGCGGCATCGAAGATGTCTCGGCCTCGGGAAAAGGACGAATCAGGTGTTTCGAACAAGCAGGCGTTGCTCGTGACACAAAGGAAATCCTTGATGACTGGCCTGTCAGAAGCAAGATCACACTTGGGGATATAAAGATGCAAACCGCAGCGCTGATGAAACTGTGCCTGCCAAGGTCTACGTAACCCACGCGCTCATGGACCCTCAAACTGCTACATGTTTGATGTGTCAGGGTCTTCTGGCATATCGCTTCTGTGGGGGTTTGTTCATCCTGGCTTGAGGGTGTCCACTCCATTCCTTTTCTTGGAAACAAAACAATGAAACACCCTAGACTTCCAAGACCATTGAAACAATGGTTGACCTGTTTTTGTAGTGCAAAATCCTTAGTGCGTTAGTTAGTTGGTTCGGTTTTAGCCTAGGGCTGGATGCCGAAAAGAACACACCGCTTCGCGCCGCACTCTTTCGCGGGCGTTCGGCGGGCGAACTCGACCCAGCAACATGTCTTGGCTTCAGCTTCCTCGGCCTTCGATCCCACTGATTCCCACGGATCCCAGCGGAGCCAGGTGGATTCGAACGAAGCAAAACAAGGAACTCAACTCTGAAACCCGCTGAAACCCGCTGAAAACCAGGTGACTGCTGGGTGTTCGCTTCTTTTGAGCGGTGTCTTTTCAAGGCACGAAGCTGAACATTGGACCAATGGTTTGGACCAAACTGAACAGCCAAAAGCGCCAGCCAAAAGCGCCTCCGGCGAGGTGAGTCGGCCTTCTCTTGATTCGTTGGCAGCTTGCAGCTGCGCCTAGCAGGTGCGATTTCTTCATTTGGCATCCTAAAACCAATAGAAAAGGATGAGTTGTTTTTTGCCTCATGGCAAAAGACCACGCGAACCGAAACGGATGAGTGCGCCGTTTCGTTCCAGCAACCTTCGCGAAATTTCGGCGACCCAGGCCACCCCTCTTGATTCCACGGCACCGTGTAGGGCCTAAAGGATTCCAAGTGAACCCGCGCCTCCAGTGACCTTACGATGGTCTTCTGTTCTTCTAGTTCTTTTTGGAATTGCGCCTGGACCAGGGCCGCCGCAAGCGGTGCGCGGCCGCCAGAAGCGGTAGGGCACACGAGGTCATGACGTCATGGTACTTTTTGGGGCGGGGAGATGGGTCATCTGATCATTCCTTCCAGGAACCTATACGAGGACACCCTAAGGGGTGTCTATTGATAGCCCCTTAGAGGTTAACGGGTGTCCATTAACCACCCCTTGTGGGTCCTAGTATGTTGCAACTTGTACAGTACCACTTTGTAGAAATTGGAGAAAGCTCGCGATGTTCCCACCTGTGCGTCTGCCGTTTCTAGCAGCGCGCAGACCGAAGTAAAGCTTGCTAAAGGTTCAGATCGAACGATCCGGCGGAGAAACACAACGCCCTCCTTCTCTTGACGAAACTTCTCAGTCATGTCCTCCACCTGGCCGCGAGTTGTGCTGCAGAAAGGAGGAGAAGGACCCAACCTGTCCACCTGCGAAAACACCTTTTTTTCTTCGAAGTGCATAAAGAAAAGGAAACCCTTCCTTTTTTCAACATGCTTCTGTTCACTAGGTAGGACGGCCCAAGACGTACCATTTGGCCATCCCAAGCGCCTTCGGGGCCTTGGCGTCCTTGAGTTCCTTAAGACCTGAGGCGCCACGCGTCCAAGACGAAGGAAACAAAGGCATGAACCTGGACATCCAGTCGAGGCCCGAAACCAAGGGTTGGAACACAATACGGCTGTTTGGGGATCCTTTACAGAAGTGCCTAGGATTGGGGGGAACATCCACTTACTTCTGCTTGTTGGGGTTTCCAGGAAAGGGCCCAGGTGCTTCAGGTGCTTCAACCCACTTGTTCTTACTTCGGCAGTTCTTTGTCCTGATATCTTCCTGGATCTTCTAACTATGCCAAGTTTCTGCCTTTTGGCTGCCTTGTTTGGATGAAAAGGCAAACATTTGTCTCAGTTGGAAGATCCTATAGGTTGATATGTTTGACCCTAGAAGTCCAGTTCGACTAATTAGGGGGAATGGGCACCAGCAACGGACGGATCAATTGGGAGAAGTTTGAGTATGAGCATGTGTGCGAGGACCCGAAAGATGGTGAACTATCTCGAACTATGCCTGCGAAGGAAGTAGAAAGGAAATGCCTAGACTCAGGTCAGATGCACCACACCAGTACTGTAACCAGTAGGATTTCCAAGACGGATCCGGCAATCCCCCCCCCCACGCAGCACCTCGGTGTCCAGTTTCACCGGTCTCCTAAAGGAACTTGACGGTTCCAGTTTCCATTTGGTGCCTTCCATCATCTCCACCATGCAGTGGATTTGCGCCACGGCACTGGATTTGCTTTCAATGACTTGCTTCTCCTGCGCCCACGGCGCCCGCCACGTGCCCGGCCCCGCCACGCTTGGGAGTGAGTGAAACCCACCCAGCAGTTCGCCACATCCGTCAGAGAAAGACCGGCGTCCAGTCGACGGGTGCGGTCCAATCGTTCATTCTCTCGTTCTAAGTCGCAGTTCTTTCCACCTCACAGCGCTGCAGGACGGTGCACGGTGCGCCACGGAACGGTGCACGGCTTGGAACAGAAAACAGCGCTGGTGGAACACCGAACGGCCGGGTCCGGAGCGAGAGGTTCAGGATAGGACCCGGAAAACCTCGGAAAACCTGAACTACCCAACTGGGCTAGTCGAACAGTCGGGTTCTTCAGCGAACTTGGACCGCCGTTTGAAGACCGTCGTCTCGTTCGGTCGCCGAGCTGCGCAATTCTTCGATCTCAATTTTGGCTTTTTGCAGCTCGTCCTGCTGCGTGAGGACGAGGAGATAGTAAGATAGATGTCAAGATTTATATTTTGTTCATTGTGTGTTTTCTTTTGAGATCTTTTAAAAGACAAGACGTCAGTGACAATGACAAGTCATGACAATTCGCTCGGCACATCACTTGGCTTCGCTTTGTCAGCTGGGCCTCCAATCGCCGGAAGTCCTCGCATCAGGGAGGATCTTCCCAACACTGACGGACGCGCTTTTGACACTCAGCAGTTCTGGATTTGGTCATGTTGAGTGCTGTGAACAAAAAACACTGATAAAACCTCACATGGCTCGTGAAGAATTGCAACCTTACAACCACCACACACCCATCCATGCACCCATCTACCCAGCTCCATCCTCTTCACTTCGTGAAGAAGCAGCACACTGCGCGCGCGGTGGCGCCCTCTCGTTCGTGGTGGAAGCCACGTTATTCACGGGGCTCACGGGGCTCGTCGCTCCGGACCTCGTGACTCCCCGAGGTTGGACCGTTTTCGGAAGAAACTTCTGCTTGCAGCACCCATTGGATAGAAAAGACATCAGCCGCCCCAGCCCTGTGTGCTGGTGAATTCAACACTTTTCGCCTTTAAGCCGTTCAAGGCGCTGAACCGAAGCACAATGAACCACACTAGCCGTATAATTGGTGGAGGGGAGCCCTGGGCTATGTCCTTCGCCTTGGCAAGAACGTGCTAACAATAATCAACCGCTTGCTTCTAGGATCTTCTAGGTCCATTGCATTTACCAACCGCATCAACTGGACTGAAAAAGGAACAACTGCTACCTTCGGAATAGGCCACTAGGGTCAAACATCGTTCATTCTTGGCAGATTCTCCCCTTTTGCAAACTTCCGGAACTCCTCACCGGAGCCGAAAAAAAAACATGTACAAACACACACACACACACAAAACAGACATCTCCATCTCCACACTTCCTTCTCTTCCGAAACCATCTCCTCCCCCCCCCACCCAATCCCAACCACAGAGTTCCACCGGGCCCCCCGGCAGCTCCGAACGCACTCCGAGCGCGGCGTCCGGACGCCCGGCGGGACTCGGACTCGCGCCGGGTTGGAGGGACCTGAGAAAGGCCAGGACCATGGAGTTCGAGTGGTTGGAGGGACACCCTCTGAGAAAATGATGTATGTTCCATCCAAGAACTACCCCTTCCGTGGGGCTGGAGCAGTTCCATGTCGGTTTTTGGTGTTTAGATGATTTAGATGTGAATATAGGGATGTCGTTCAGAGGCACCCCTTTTTAAAAAAAACTGCTGGTAAGCCGAGGTTTGGTGGAAAGACGAGAACGTCATTCTCACCGGTGAGTGCGCTGAGAAAGTCTTAAATGGATATGCTGGGTTTCATGTTAGATCCGGGAAATGAAGGAGGATTCTCAAGATTTCAGGAGAAAAATCGGAGAAGCTGAGTGTTGGCCAACATTCAGACTTGGACACTGGAGATGGTTGATGTCCAACAAACCATACCTCTCCGAAAGCACCATCCGGGCCCCCAAAATAGCCCAAAATGGCCCTTACACTGCAACTGGTATTCGCATGGTAGAGGCTCTAGCAAAGCACCTGGGACTCACGAGCTGGAGCACGGGCTCTCCAAAGAGTCCCCCGCTCACTCCCCAGTCCGCGGCCTTAGCGGGCTTTGCGTGTTCTTTCGCCAAGGCGCATGACACGTTCAAACCTGCGGACCGCCATGTGGAAGATCCACTGGGATGAAAGCACCGGGATGCAGTGGAAGGGGAGGTGGGGGTGCAATCCTACAGGATCAGGCAGGCTTTCCTTCACATGCAGCTAGAGGTTTGGTTGAGATCAAAATCCCTTGTGGAAAGAAACGAGACAAGAGCGTGGTGAATTCTTGCGTGCTGGGATTGGTGCTTGGCCGCACCAACTCGATAAATCCAACTGGAGTATGTCATCATCGCTCTCTCCTTGAAGAATGCGCCACCCGTGTCACTGGGCCATCTACTCTAAGGTGAGAAGGACCATCAAAAGACACTACTTCGAGGGTGTTTGGCCCAAACATGACCACCCGCAGACCACCATAATATGACTTACGAACTAGATGTTTGTTCTAAATCCGCACCCCTCCGCGCCAACAACCATCTCCCGCCCCCACTCCTCCAAACAAAGCGTGTCCCCCCCCCCACATCTCCCCACGTCCCCCGCGCCACCTGAGCTCCAACTGTGCCAGGGAGGCGCGGAGCGAGGCCAATTGCATGCGCTGCCCCACCTGCCGGGAGAGCGAAGGACGGTCGGAGTCTTCCACAGTGGAAGATGAAGCACTGAACGACCTCACAGGTCGGTAACAACCGTTGAAAGCAGGCTGGGCTTTAGGGTTTTAGCCTATAGCTTCTCCTCTTTTTTTCGGCACCGTTGGTTTTGCTGTCACAGCCGCACCTCTGCAGATGCAAAGGATGGCGCATCCCTCAGTCGGTCGAGGGCGACACGGCTCCTTCGACGGCCAGGTGTCCGGTGGGCCGACAGGGCCCGAAGACGTCCACGAAGACATGAGTGGGCAAAAAAACACCCCGACATGTGACGCCTGGCTGGTAGAATGGATTGGATGGAAAAGGGCATCATATGAACCCTGGAACTCTCTAGGGACGCATTGCTGAAGCAGAGATCAGCAATGAGATCAGCAACTCATCCGGCGCGCTTGGTTGAGAAATCTTGAGAATCCCCCCCCGTCATCTTGCGGGACATCACCGGGCCGAGCCGCGATGAAGCCCACCCGGACCCTCTGCGCGTCGGTCGCGCAGGGCACGCGGTCGTCCAAGGCACGCGGTGGGCCTTAACATCTCGATCGCGCGCGCGCGCTTCGTCGCCAGCTGCAGGGACTGCTCGGCATGTTGAATGCACCTGGTGAGGCGGAAGCGGCACGAGCTCGTGCGGTGAAAAGAGGGGCAGGGATGCCATAGACGTCATGGCAAGTCTTCATCTCGGAATCGACTTCTGTCATCCTTGTCAATCTTTGATGCCAAGTACCATGCCACTTACGTCTACAATTCTTCATTCTGCCAAGTATGTTGCTATGCCCTTGAACCCCACCGAGTTGGGTTGTCCAAGCAGTGTCTGAATCTTCACAGCATGTTTCCCTGCCATAATGGCTCCAAGGCACTCTTCCAAGTTGGACTTCATGCCGAAACGGCTTGGCACTTCTGGGCCTTGGGGCAAGTCCAGAGGACCCACCACGAACATGGCTGACATTAGACTGACATTGCCTCGAGATGGCTGACATGGAAAGCACTTCACCCTGCTTGATTCTTTCCTCTCATCAGCCCAAGCTGCAGGGGGTTGCATGCCAGAGCTCCAGATTGCGGATTCGGCTCTCAGCCTGCCAAGGAGAGCGCGGGGCTACCGGGGTACCCGGAGAGAGCGCAGTGGCCCCAGGGCTGATAGCACTGGACCTCCTGGACCTCTCAGCCTGGACCTCTCCTTGCCCATCCCACAAACACAAGACTCTAGATGCTTGCGCGAGTCCCGCCACATCTTCTGGCGCCTCTGCAACCAACAAGTCCAGCCTAAGCCGCTGTGCTCTGCACGAGTCCCGCCATCGTTCCTCTCCCTTGCTCCGTTCGTAGCTTCTTGTTCCTAGTATGGCCAGGAGCCCCAAAGGTAGCGTCCTTTGCTCCTGTACTCATCCGTACCAGGCCCAGCTGGGCCCCCAGACTCTGCCAGGCTCCGGCGGTTGGTGAAGCTGGGCAGGCTGGGCGCCGGCAGCCGCAGCCCGGTGAATGCGGCTGAACGGGACTCCGAAGGCCTCGGGACTCGACGGTGGGTGGGAACTCCGCCCTCCAGTCGCCAGGATGATCCGTGTTGGGCTGCGAAATGCATACTTGTGTCTACTCATGCATTGTGTCAGCCCAAAAAAACACAGAGATGTCACGCTCTACCATCAAAATGAAAGAAAAATGCCTAATTCTGGCTTTGCCTCATCAAACAGCTGGCTTTCATAAAGAGATTGGATGAGATTGGGAAGGGTGGTGGTATATAAACTTGACTTATCTTTGCTAGGTGCACAAGACTGATGGTCCTTCAAACATCTTGAAGGAAACTCAACAATACCAGCACCCTCCAACAGGTCTCCTCTGGTAGCTTTTGGAGACTTAAAAGTGTCAGGTGGTGACCTGTTGGAGGGTGCTGGTAGATGATTTCTATTCTTCTTTTTGCAGCTTGACTCTTTTTCAAGAGGCCATTCTCATCATCCCAAGGCCAGATCTGCACAACTCCGTCTGAACTGCTCTCACTTCCGTTCTCGTCATCCCAAGGACGACGTGCCGAGCCAAGTTGGCCGAGCCACTCCTCCCATCTGGCCGCCGAGCGCGCAGACGTGGCGCTCGTACTGGGCGTAGACGCCAAGCGCAAGGCTTCCTGTGATCGAGGTGGATTAGAATCAGCCGAACGGTCTGGATGGGACGTTGCGACATGTTGCAACTATAGGTCTGGATGGTGGTCAGCGGGACGTCTGTGGAAGAGGGGCGTTCAAAGGCACGTTGATAGGTTGCTTTGTTTTTGGAGGTTTTCACAGGTTGTCACTGTCACGATCATTTCTCTGGTGCATTGGTGGGGTCTTTCTTTTTGGAAAAAGGGTTGCAATCTATGGCCATCTGGTCGTGTTTGCATCGTTGAGTACAAACGAAGCTTGCATAGTGGAGTATTCTGACTCCTTTCCGGTCACACGAAGAAGGCCCTTCCGAACGGAACAAGGTCGGGTCGCACCCAATGCATTTCACCCGCTTCACCAGCGCCCCACGCCGGCGCGAGACGGATCCGTTGCCTTAAAGGATGGGATCCGTGGCGGAGGGGCAGCTCCCACCTGGGTGAGGACGTGAGGACACGCCAATGAAAGGGAAGAGAAGGAGAGAAGGAGGAAAGGAGAGAATCAAACGAAACCACGGACCACGGTCACCATGAGAGTTCTTCGACGATTGGAACGATCTTCGACGTGAGAAGCAGCCAAAAGCATATGGCATAAACATGCTTTCCATTCACCGTCAGGCTTTCCATTTGCCTCAGCACCGCACTGGCTGTCGCTGAACGCGGTCATTGCGCTCGAATTGGACCTCCACTGACGCAAAGATTGGCTTTCCAATCAACTTGACTGCGTTGAGCCGCTGAGGTAAGCATGTTGGCCGCAGCATGCTTAGCTTGTGAGAAGAGACAAGCTAAAACATGAAGACGGGTGGTTGGTCTCAGCAGACTACGCAGCAACACGAAAATCATCGAAAATCATACAAGCACCACGGAGGAAAGGGTGGTTTACAGACACCCCTTTTCCTATGTATGTTCCCTCAAAAAAATCCACCCTTTCCGAGGTGTTGGTATAAAGTCATCAAACTGTTCGTTTCAACTGCCTCTTCACCTTCGTCGTTCCGTTCTCTCGGCTCTCTCCTTTGGTCTTCGAATGCCGTCCGGGTCACTCGTTGCGGTGAAGGATTGGGATATCCGAAGTCGTCTGACCTTGGTTCCAAACTCGACAACAAGGGCGTCCGGCCAAGATTCTATGGCGGCCTGCCAAAAGAACCACGGAATCTGCAGAATCGTCCCAAATCGTGTTCTCCCACCTCCCAACACCTCCCAACTGCAGTTCTCCACCTTCTTCCGCCTTCGGCCAGTCCAACCCGTCCCCGTCCGCGTCCGTCCGATGTGCGTGCGCCGGGCGGCGCCAGCACGTCGTGGCGCAGGTCGGGTCGCCGGTGCGCGGGGTCCGGCGACCGAAGGCACCGGAGCGGCGAAGACCTGAGGGTGAGAGTGACGGCCGGCCGGCAGCGCGGGGCTACCAACCGACCAACCGACCTACCAACCTACCAAGGCCTCCAAGGTTGGTCGGTTGGTCTTCTACCAGGCGTGGTCTTCTCCAACCTACCAGCCAAGCAATCTTCCCATGGATCCTCCCAACCTCCAAAGCTCCAACCAACGAACCAAGCGTACGGTACGAGCGTGAGCGTGACAGCACGTCCTCGGAGCCCGAGACCTGGGTGGGTTTGGGGGGTCTTTTCTTCGGGTCCTGAGACCAACCTGAAGCCCAAGGGCAAGCCCAGAAGAGGCATGGAGGGAGAAGGGAGTCTTCACCTTCGACTCGAAGGACTGCCCAAGTATTATCAAGGTCAAAGGGTTAAACATGGATTGACCTTGACCCTCCAAAGTACCTTTTAGAAAATGGTACATGACCCCCATTTTCTGAGGTACTTTGAGACTCCAGGAACAAATGTTGATTTTGGACCAAAAGTGCTGACATTCTTGCCTATTGAAAAAAGAATTGGAAAGTCCTACTCCTATACCTATACTGAGAATGAATGATCAATCCTACTCCTATGAAAGCATGTGCCCGGAAGCACTTTTTTCCGTCCTCCCCAAGGCCTTGGGGACCTCTACCCGCTGACCGTTGGCTTCCGCAGATGCTTAGGGGCCGCACTGCCCAAGGTTGATGGTGCTCACCAAGTTGGAGGTCACGGCCCTGCGCGCGGTGACCAGCATAGACCGACGCACACGTTCGGGAGAGGAGACCAGGTTGCTGTCGACATCGCGTGCAAGAAATGGCCACGCGGAAGCCGCCGACGGAAACCATACGCATCCAAACACCATGTTCAGCTGGAAAAAGCCGAAGAAGATCAATCATCAATTTCGTACTTCCTCATGGGTCGCACACCATCTCGAATTCCCTGAGTGCCCGCACGAACGCTGGGTGCATGTGGCCTTGGATGCTTCCCAGAAATCACGCGCCATGACCCCTCTCACTGACGAAATGGGCAAGGATACTGGTAAATACAATCTGTTTCTGACTGCATTACCAGCATCACTTGGGCACGAACCCCAAATTCAACAAAATACATCGCTTCCCCATGAAGTTCAACAAAAAATGTTCGATTCACCCCCTTATACTTATCCTCGCTTCTTCTGCCCAACGTTCGCCTAGCCTGGCTCTTGACTCATGATGACTAATGATGACCACCATGACCACCTCGTCATGTCAAAGATCCAACCCGCTCTGACAGTCAGAAACAGCTGAAGACCCGCTGATTCTTCAACCACCGGGTGACACCCGCTGTTCTACATCAATCCTTTCCACGACACCCTTTCCACCGCGGACCCGTCCTCAGCGTTTCACGGCGGACGACCAGAAAACGGAAACCGGGCTTCCCCAAAACCCCTCGGGCCCAAAAACCTTCCATCACGCTTTTCGCAGGCCTTTTGCACGCGTTCCGGTCCGGGGCGAGGTCCCGCACTCGGCTCCCGGGCTCCAAGTTGCCAAGGTTGGATCTCCTCATCGTCCCATGCGCTCCGCGGACGCAGCGCCTGAAGTGCCGGCTATGCGGCGCGGTGCCCGCGGCGGGAAGCCCGGTGCGGACCCGGAGGTGGCGGGTCCGCAGCTTCGATTCGGCGGGTGGAGGACATCCAGATGGAAAGAATCCGCAAAAAAGGCCGAGATGCGATGCGAGAGAGTTGAAATGACATGTCGGCTGATCTCGATTTGGACTTCCCTTTCCTCGTAGCTCTTCACCCTACACCGAGGGGCCAAGGTCTTTTTTCGGAGAAGACGCAGCGCCAAATCACCTCCTGCTCCGACCTTAGCCACGCCGGATGGTGACCCATGGACGTGTGAGGACCAGGAGCAGGTGCAAAGGACTCCGATGCATTGTCCCACCTTGACGGGGGGACGTCAATGAATTGTGCCTCACTCGGCACGAAAGACCCAGCACTATACCCGGCACCGCACCTCCCGAGATCAATCCTGATAGGATGCAGGTGCAGCCTGACGCAAATGATCCTCACTGAGTAAATCCCATGATTCTTCCCAGGCCATCTTGCGAGCTGGGTCTTCGATGTTCGGGTTGCCGTATGCCTGAATGGGACTCGATAGATCGTACGCCTTCACCCGCGTGTTGGGGTTCTCAAAGCGGACTGCGAAAAGCTTTGTTTTCAGACCCACTTCCTTGATCTTCTTCACCGGAGAGGGCTCATTGTTGACCAAGACCAAGTCGTTGAGGGCCAGCCGCCAGGCTGCCTTCCGCACCATGTCCTTCCCTGCGATGCGAACTGGAATCAGGTGTTCTTTGGAGACCCTGATCTGTGCATGTCGCGTGCCCACCAGGACGATTTCATGCCGGTCTTCGGGATGCTCCTGAATGGATTGAACCGTCACCTCCTCATCAGCTGAAAGCACTTTGGAGCCTGCCCGCAAGGCAGACACATAGGTCAACCCGGTGTTATCCTCATTGGGGAAGGCCGCGTTTGGCAAGAAGCATTGGTCGCCATCCACGACGAACCAGCTGGAGAATGTGAGTGCGGAGGAGAAGGAGGAAAAACTGGCAGTCCGGGATGATGGAGCAGGTTCAGGCTGTGGGCTCTGTGAGCTAGGGCCCAAACTCAATCCTTCCAGACTGACCACACAGTCGTCTGGTCCCTTCTGGGGACCCTTTTTGAACCAGCGGTTCTGATCCATTTTGAGAACGAAGGCAAAGCCTTTTGGCATCACCTCCATGGGAATGCGCACAACGAGCATCCAAGTTCTTTTCGGTGAGCCACTGTGCCCCATCGATGTCCCAGTCTCAATCACCGGACTTTGGCACGCTTCCGGTTCGGCTGCCCAGGTTGGCACAGGCCATGCCACTTTCCCTGGTCGAGTCCAAGCAAAGGAGTCTTTTTGATGCAGAAATCCCCAGTGCAGAATCAAGTTTGCATGTTCTGCGCTGACTTCGCCCCATAAGTGGACTTCAAGTGCCTGCCGACCATTCTGTGCACGATACACTTTGGTCTTCACCAATCCACCTGGTGTGCCTCTCTCGTCGCGAATCCTGAACTCCGGGAAAACACCAAGCACCTCTGACATGCGATGGCAGGTAATTGGGGGGGACGAGACTCCACTGCTCAAGCCAAAGTTAGCGCTTGGGCCCAAAACTGCAGTTGCGGCGCAGTCCTCTGGGCTCCTCAACCTCTGCAGGCCAAAAAATCTACATCAAAAAGTCTTGGAATCCAATCTACCAGGAGTTTTCATTCCAATCCGACAGACCGACGGACCTGGCTTCAACATGCCCCCCCTCGCCTCGAAGGGGAGTGTGGTGGGCTCCATGGCAGCATCGAAGGAGGTGCTCAAACGTGGTGCGCGGTGGTGCTCGATGGGGTTCTGTTGAATAGTGATCTACAGAGCTTGCAGGTGCTTGCAGGTGCGATTGGGCTTCAGAGCAGCGAAGCGATGTGCTTGCAGGTCACACGAGCGATCGCCTGTCGCACGACTGGACTGGCAGATTTGAGCATTCCGGGCTGAGCCCTGATCTCTCATGTGGTTCTACAACACCAACTCCACAGGGTCACGAATGGATCAATCCAAATAATTTGTACCTCCGCTTCAATTGGTTTCAAAGCAGACCAGAAAAGTGATGAATGGGATCAACGAGCAACACCAGTGGTCGTCCCCGCAATGTCAAGCATGATCCGTGCAAGTTCAACCAATAGCAATATCTTTGCATCTGCAGCACCAAACACTGTTTCCAAAGAAAGAATAGCCCTGCTTACCTCTTGGGGCTCTTTCTCTTGAGCTTATGGATGATTTTCTTGGTTTCTTCCGAGCTACTCTTCTACTCTTCCACTTCACAACGACAAATATATAAGTCTGGTTCGAGATTCATCACTCCTCAGAGATTTCTTGTAGCACCAAACACCGTTCTTTCTGTCAGTTTTGCTCCCAAGCAGAGTCTTCCTTCTTGTGGGCATGCCGTGGTCTTCTCCCTCTTCTACCTCTTGGAAGCCATCGCTCGTAGGTTGGAGGCCATTCTTCCTTTCGAATCCCATCCGCTGCCAGATCCAACTCCTCCCCTCCCTGGCGAGGCTTCCGCTGAGGCTTCCGCTTCTCGGCTGGCACCGTGCGGTTCCGTTCCGGGAAAAACGCTGGAGCCGAAGATGCGGGAAGAATGAACCTCATGCGGGGTCGGCGCCCCGTCCGCGTGTGTTGACGGGATCCTTTTCTCTGCGCGTCTCCGAGAACACGACTTGAGAGCCGACCATTTTGACCGTGTCGTGTAAGCGCTCACGTCCGTCATGGTGGAGTGGTGCTCCTTGAAAGAGCGGTGGAGCAGTAGGCGCCAATGCAGATGCAAGATGCAAGAGCAAGAGCAAGATGCATGCGCTTCGGGGCCACCTCTTGGTCGCTTCAGAAAGAATGTGGCTATGAGCTTTCAAGCTGGCCCAATGCGAACACATCCCCATGAGCTCTATCGATCGCTCTCTTCCCCCTTGGTCCTGCGCGGCGCTCGCCGCGAGCTGTGCCAAACCCTCCGACGGCGACGCGGAACGGCCGAGCCGCTGCAGGAGCGCTGCCTGGACGTGCGAAGGGAGCGCGGCTCAGCGCTTCAGTGCCCCGAACTGGTCAAAAAGGAAAACGGGCTACGACATGGGATGGGCAGGAAGTGGATTGGCAGGGTACCTTGGAAAGGAAGGCCTTCTCTACAAACAGAGGTTGGAATGTTCCACTTCCATGTGAGTGAGTCGGAGGGAAATAGTAGTACTTGCCCAGAGATCTTGCTTCAATTGCCAAATGCAACCAGCCTCTTCTGGGTTCTATACAAGAAAAGGCGGATTGCTCTCTTGGTCTTACCTCCTCCAACTCCCCTCCTCCAGCTCCGCCCACTCCCCTCCTCCAGCTTTGCCAGCTGCCGCTGCTCCGCCTCGGCCAGCAACGCGCTCAAGCACTGCGCCGTCAACGTTCTCCCCGCCGCCTCGGCGGGTTGAGTCAGGTCCCACTCACCCGTGCGGTCAGGACAGGCCATGACGGTCTTCGAAAGTCATGCTCGTGCTTGGTGCCCAAGCCAAAATGGCAAGAAGCATGGAAAGGCAAATGTATGCTGTGTATGTCCAAAAAGCCACTTCATGACTTCATGGTTGATCCTAAGTTCCTGATGTCTTGCCATGTCTTGCCAGTTCTTCTTGCTGCTTTCCGTCGGAAACCCAAGCTCCGGCACCTCCGCGTGCTCCAGCAAGGTGAGGGCGCTGTCCAGCGCACAGCGTGGCAGCGACCAAAGCAACATCCGGAACTCCTGGAGAGGAACTCCGCGCGATGGCGGAAGCCTTTTTGGAAGGCTCGGGTGGTGCCCACCAAGCAGTTCTCATGGTGCCCGACCCAGGTGCCAGAGACTTGAACTTTCCCCTTGCCAGTGCCTTGAGGAAGAAGGAAATGAAGCTTCTCAAGACCAGGCTCCACTGAGTTTGACCACAACACAGTGGAGCACTCCAGGAACTGGTCCGATTTTGAGACCAGTTCTCGCACGTGCCCTGGGGGTGCGAAAGACCCCCGGCCAAAAAGGGCACCGGGCTTTTTCGGAACTCTCCTCCTCAGCGAAGTCCATGACCTGCAATTCGGCAGGAGAAAGCTTTCCCAGGTGGGTGTGTCCTTGAATAAGAAGAGCTGCAACCACCCCAAACCAATGGGTAGGCTGGTCTAACTCTAACCTTCCAGATGGTCGTTGCCTGGGAGGTCTCCCTCTTTGAGCTACACACCCACGTGCGAGACTGGCCCAAAAAACGCCTTCACCTGTCTCTAGCTTCACAGCGAAGAAGCCTCAACACCATCACTCTGGGGCACAGAGTAAGAGACGGAAGAGTCCTTGGTTGGAAACCGAGGACTCACCTTGCACTCAATTCATTTGGACCGGACCTTCCGATGCATCCCAAGTGGGACTTTACCCATGGATACCCATGGCGACACCATCCCATCGTTCCCCTCTGACTCTGGTGACGCCTGAGGCTTGGCAGCCTCTGCAATGGACATGAACAAATTCACGGTTTCACACCGCAGTTCCGCCAGTGCTCATGCGGTGATCGCCAGACCCTCAGGGGGAAGTCCTGCCCGGGCGTGCTGTTCGCACAGATGAAGTGCAGAAGCCGAGTGAGTTCAGCCAGATGCCACTGCGACGAGGGAGGCTTGGTCAAATTTCAACAAGTCAATAAAAAGCTTCGGTTGGGCGGTACATAAGCCTAACAATCCGTTCTTTTGGGGGATTAATGCCCATTAAAGAGATGTTGGTGGGTCAAATCAACGCATTACCATGCCTTGGAAGAACCCACAATCTGCCGGAAATCCCGCTTCTTGTGATCCGCCACTTCGTTGAATTCCACAAACCCGCCTTGCAGAGACTCAATGCTGCTGGCCAGTCGGTCCACACGTCCGAGCTGAAGTGTGGCAAAGGTTCAGACCTGAAGAGGTACACCGCGACTCGCCATGGAAATGGACGTTCTGGCCACCGAGAAGAGCATCTTCACTCTACAAAGAGATGGTTTTTCACCTCGACTTCCATGTTGGTGAGTCAGAGGGTACTTTGGACGACAGAAATCAAGCACCACACAAACTGACTGGATGAGGACTTCAGCAGGGAGAAGCTCTTTTCAGAGCTTTTCCAAGCGGATGAAAGCGGAGCCTGTATTCTTTTCCTTCTCCTCACAGCATGGCTTAGGCTCCCACCGTGTTGCTCAACTCCAGCCTCGGGACGTAGAACCACAAACACCAAGCGAGGTCTTGCACAGCCGTTTCCCAGCAGTTCTTGCACGGCGTCTCTCTTTTTTCTTGTGGCCTCACAATTGCATGCCAGGGCCCCTTAATTAGGTGTCTAAAATTCATAGCTCATTCAGAGGCCAAGAGCTGTCCATTCACCCCCCCAAACCCCAAACCGGTGACCGTCGCTGGACCGTGGACCACCGGTTCCGTCGGTTCGGTCGTCGCTTCGGTCGTCCGTTCGCTTCGGTCCCTCTGTGCAGTTGAAAGACGGCCGGAGGCTCAACTGCCGGAGCTCCACGTCTTCCATGGCCGTCAACAACGAGACCTTCACGTAGATCAAGGTGGCGCACGACCAAACCAGATTGGCAAACCTCGAGCGAGAAGCACAAAACATCCGGTGGGACGACACACATGGGTGTGTAGCTCAAATAGGGAGACCTCCCAGCGTATTGTACACACATCAACAACCCCAGATTGACCTGTTCGTACCTTCAATTCCATCAGCAACTGCATCGAATTAGGTTCCCATCGCGGCGTCTTGGTCGCCAGGCAAAAAGGACAACACCGAACTGATATCAATGTGTTTCGGGATGCAACATTGTCCCGTTTTCGTGGTTTTCACTCATCCCCATGTCTGTTTCAGAGGTTTTCACTCAGGGACACGTTGGGCCGGGGTGGGACGGAGTCTCCAGGACAACAACGTCTGTCCAGATAGCTTCTCCACCTCAAACAGCGTGCCTCGTCTCGGATGCTTTGGGACCCCCGGCTCCTGGGAACCAAAGCTGGACAGCTGCATCAAGGCCAAGGAAGACATCCGGTGCATCACCTCGGACCGTGGCCCGAAGGCTGCAGTCGATCGAGGCGATAGGCCAAGCTTGCGCCGACTTTGTGACTTGAAGAGCGTGTAGAGAAAAAAGGGGCTCGGTCCCTTCGAACCCGAGCACAAATCAAGGGAACGACTCTAAGGGCAGGGGGAAGCCTAGCTGCTGGAAAATGAAGGAGCTGCAGGGTGGCAAAGCATTGCAACATGTTGGAAATCGCTTGTGGGCCCAAGTCTTCCAGCGCCAATGAGGAGGATGCCAGCCTGGCAAACAAGTTGTTTTTTTGTGGCCTGTGGCGATTCATCACCATAAGAATCGCTGCACGATGCACAAGTTGCAGGATGTTCTAGGATAGAAACTATCACATGTTCGACTCATAAGAACACTAATAGTAACAAACAGCCACTGTCCATGTCCGCTGGTTGCTTCTGTTGTGCCATGTACCAGATCCATTCTTTCCGCTTCCGAGACTATCTTGCCTGGTCATCAAAGGGACCTCCACAACCATGGTTGTTCTCAAGGTTCAAGACGTACTCGAAAGATGTCGCGCTTCTGGTCGTTGATCCTGGCGCGCTTGCGCGAGCCGCGGAAGACCTGGTCGAGTCTGCTTGGGGCTCTGCGGAATGGACGAACCGGGCCGGGCGACCAGCAAGCGTGATTGTTGCACCAACCGGAAAAGCAATGCACAATGGCACATCATCTCCTTTGCTGCCCTTTGACAAACCCTGGTTGAAGTAGAGAGTCTTCAAACGACCCACAACTGCCTCCCTCTCCATCAAATAGAACATGCAAAACTGTCCCAAGGGGATGGACCCAACATGAAAAGTCATGTCTTCGCACGAACAGCTGAACAAATCTGCGAACGAAAAACAGCTGACAAAGCACGACTTGTCGATATTTCTTCTCCAGAAATGGCGGAGAATACAGAGAACGCAGCAGCGTGCTGCTTTGCACGCGCCTTCTCTCCCTTCTCTAGACTCTAAACATTTCTCACCCCAGGAAGTATGAACTTCCTGCACCCCACTTCCAGTCGCGGGGATCTTTGTCGCTTTCGCCAGCGAAAGAAGGCGGATCGGCCCTGCAGCCATGCCTCTCCTGCAGCAAGCAGTTCGCCATGGCTCGTAGCAAGCTCTTCTCCCGGCACCGCAAAATGGCCAGGGCCTCGGTCGTGTTCGGACTCCACGCGACACGACACGACAGAGGCGTGGAAGCTCTTCTCGCCTGACACATATTGGCAAGCTCCTGCGTCTTGGCCTCGCGAAGCGAAGGTTCAGGTCTTTCAAACAGATCAACTTGCAAGGGTAAGCAATCGTGACAGAGGAAAGGGACACTTCAGAGTGAAATCTGACCGCAGAAAAGGAGGAGAAGAGTGGACTGGAAAAGGAAAAAATGAAGTGTTCGTTTGGTTGGTTGTTGGGGTTGGTTGGAACAATCCTTGTCTTTTCATGGAACATGGACAATCATGAAGAATTTCTTGGCCAAGTGACGCCGCCTAAAACCTCCCACCCGGTCATCTCCATCCTGCCTCCAACACGTCCCACGCACGCTCCGCCAAGGCATTCAAAAGCTGTTGCTTGACCAGTAGCATCGTTGCAAAGGTTCAGCCTCTGGCATTTCACACTTCAGCTCTGCAGCAGAACGCATCTTCTTCGCTTGGCTAAATTGACTGAGCTGGGCTAATTTCATTGAGCAGAATTGCATTGTCATTAGGACTTCGCCCAATGGCTGTCCGAACCCCCATGGAACATATCCGAAAAAGAGTGACAGTGTTAACCGTCTCTACCACCGCCAGCAAGCTTTCGACCCCTCCGCACATGTCTGGACATGTGCAAAGGGCGACATGTGAAACCCAACCACCGGGCTCCACCCGGCTCCACCCGGCTCGACGCGACCCACGACCCACGGGGCGCCTCTGTTGGACGACTCCTGCGCGCCGAAGTGCTGAACTGCCTGGGCGAGGCCGGCGCCCGAGCCCAGGTGCTGGAGGGCGAGGTGGCGCAAGGTGAGGCGAGCCATGCACCAGACCTCGGTCGTTGCTGACGCCGGGTCAAAGGGAGAAACAGAGAGAGAGAGAGAGAGTGAGTGAGTGAGTGAGCGAGGGAGTGAGTGAGTGAGTGAGCGAGCGAGCGAGTGAGTGAGAGAGAGAGAGTGAGTGAGTGAGTGAGCGAGCGAGTGAGTGAGAGAGTGAGTGAGTGAGTGAGCGAGTGAGTGAGTGAGTGGCAGGGAAGGCTTTCCAAATTTGGGAAAGAACGGGGATGAAAGCACCTTCTGATTGATGCTCTCTTGAGGATGCTGGTCTAGCTCAGCAGTACTTTTCAGCGATCGCCCTCTCCCTCACCCCAAAAAGGAAAATATGTCCTCTCGCCCGCTGTGCAGCAAAGAAGGGCAATAGGATGCAATAAGAATCACAGGAACAGGCGAAACGCACCTTCTCAAGTCATTGTGGATCAATGATTGACTCAATAGAAGCATCAACTCTCTCAAACGCAGGCTCTGCGCGGTGGCTGCCAGGCTGTGTGGATTTAACTCATGCGAAAGGATTTCCGTCGCCAGCGCCTCTTCGAGGGCCTCTTCGAGGGCATGAACTCGCAGCTGGAAGTGGGTCAAACATCCATCCTTGTCTTGATCGATTTCAATCCCAGGTGTAAGACATGTCAAAAGATCATGGCAGTGGTTCTGAAAACGAAGAAGGTTCAATGTCCATGGTGCATCTATGAGCTCCTATGAGGTCCGTCTCTTTCACCCGAAACCCGGCCCAAGTCTCCCGGATCCGTTCCACCCAACCCACCCGGGTCTGTTCCGGTCGGTTCGTCCCGCCTCGTCCGGCCAGAGCGTCTTGGCCAGCGCCCACAGGATCCCTGCCAGGCTGCGGGCGGACTTGCGCTCAGGGCGCTGCAGGTGCCGAGCCACCTGGCGACCTGAGAACCGGTCGGTTCGTGCGACGCGTCACGTCGCAAGGAGGCTGAGGACCTGGGACCCGAATCAGGTGTGGAGAGGTGTTTTTGGAGGACGGAGTGGCTCAACTGGGTCATCTTCTGCTAAAAGCATCGAGTGGAGAAGAAACAGCAAGTCGAGAAGGGAGAGAAGGGTTCAAGAACAAGAGAAAGAAAATTGAAAAGAGCGGAGGGAGATAGTCCAAGAACACCCACCAAACAGCACAAAGATTTCACCTTCCACACAGTCTGTGGCACACACTGACAGTTTGCCCCGACATGGTAGAGGTAGGGTGTAGAAGACAATCTTCCTCTTCTCGGGGATTTAGGAGTGCACCCTTCAAGGCCCAAAAACATCTCCAGGAGGAAAATCATCAAAACCTTTGAGGACCAAACAAAAAGACACTGGAGAGAGTACAAAAAGCGTTCGTCCCGTTCGAGGAAAACCTTGGACCTTCAAGGAGGACATGAGGCCAAGAGCGTTCTTTCCTCACGCAGACATAGGCTAATATAGGTGTGAACAAAGCCACATCCAACCCATCCCCTTTCACTTCTTCTCCGCGGTGTTGTGGACAACAGAAGAATCCGGGCACACACTCCAAATGTAAGACCCTGAAGGAATGCCGTGTTTTTCCGTGAATTTGTTGGGACGGGAACAGACCCAATCTCCAACTGCCAACTGCACTGGGGTCCCCAACTGAGTGCAGACATCAAAGGCTCCGCAAACACTTGGCTCGACGCGAAGGTCCATGCAATGCTGGAGATCTCCATCATTTTAAAGGTCGGAACCAGATCCAAGGCCTCCAGACACCCGGAGGGGTCGGGTCAGGGGTCCTCCGACCCGGAGGGGTGTCGACGTGACCGGAATCGGTGAAGTTTTCCGGGTCCAGTAGAACCTCTCAGGCTTCCAGCCACCCAAACCTGATGCTAAGAAGGAAGAAGAAAGCTTGATGCGAGCAGGGCAGGACTTCGCCTCTACCACCGGAAGGGTCCTCCTTAGGCCAAGAAGCTCTCGAAGATGTCATCTCAAAGAGCTGCTCGTCCACATGTTGCAGCTTCGTCATCTCCTCACAGGCTCTTCAGGCTCTTCTGCGCTTACACCAAGATGGTGGCGAGGAGCCCTTCCTCCCCCTGAGGTGACGTCAACCGCCGGCGGATTCGAATTCGAAGACCCCAAAGAAAGCGCTTTCTTCCGGTCTCAAAGGAAATTAGAAACTTTGACATCTGCTCATGCCACGAATGAGTACTCACTCAAAGCAGCTATAGAGCTCACAACCATTCCATCTCATCCTTGCTGCAACCACCCGTGGCGCAACAAGTCACAAAGAACCTAAAAATGAAACCCTCACTCCCTATTGGCCTATCATAAAAATATGGAAAACCCCAGTCCTGCGCCAGATTGGCTAAGTCCTGCGCGGAAATGTTGCGCGTCGCTCACAGCACCGCCCGAGCCCTTCAGCACCTCGTTTCGGCCACCGTTGGATCGCACGCGGCCCGGTGCGCCAAAGAAGGCGATGGATCGCTGGGTGTCTGACCACGGGGAAGACACAAAGCGAAGGATTCTGACCACCTTCCACATTCCACATAGGTTCGGAAGATGGTACTGGAGGATGTGAGTTGGAAACGAAGCAGGAGTTGCTGATATTATAGCCTGCTAGCCCAGACTGGTGCCGCTCAGAGAAATCTGGAAGCTTGAATGCACTTGAACGCAACTTCCAAGGCACACCTGTTCCAAAAGCATCTCTTCTTTGTAGACCACTTTCCCACAGCTTCACACCAAGCTGGCCAGGTCTCGTGCTTCAATTCGCGCTGGCACGTCCAGCACTCGACGCATCGATTCGGCCAAGATGGCCTCGGGCAGCTGCAGCACACCTGGCGGTCACAAGGTGCGTGTGACGCCGCGTGTTCACCGCGTTCGTGGCTGATCGGCCTTCGAAACACGGCATCAATGGGCCCTATGGAGCCGAAGACGTTTCCGGAACCTCAAACCTCGCAGATGTTCTTTGCCGGGACAGACGTGTCCGGAACTGGAGGATGGACTGTCAGGGATTTTTTTTTTGTGAAGGCTATCATCCATCCCGAGATACCTGAACAAAGACCAGCCTTTTCCATATCATTCGATATCAAAACTCGCTCCTCTGCATCTCCCCACGCACTCGATATCAGCTTTGTTTGCAGCTCGGTCGACCAGCTTCGACCTCGTTCGGCTGTCCGGAGTCAGCGCCTGTCTTCCACGCTCTGTTGGTCAACTCCCGCAGGCGGAACTCGCCCAGAAGGCCCAGGCGCTTCACCATCAACGGCTCCAGAGGCCGCCGGAGGACGGCATGGGTCCAAACCTGGGGAAAACGTCCTTCGAGCGGCCGAAAGTCCGGCCGGCAGACCAGGCAAAGGGCAAGGCGGTTTGGATTGCGGGTCGAAACACCACGTGACCGGGGGAAAGAGCCTCATGGACGTCTCTCTCCTTTTCCCAATCCAGAGCAGGTCCGAAATGTTTCTCAAAACAGGACGACAAAAAAAATGGGAAAACGGACGCCCTCGGGCTTCATCGGTCAACCCTTGCGACCGCAGAGAATTC